CCATGGCCCACTGTTTGATTGGGTTGTTTGCTTTCTCAGTGTCTAGTTTTTGAGTTCATGTATACTCTGGATATTAATATCTGTCTGATGTAAAGCTGCAGGCAAAGACATTCTGCAGGCTCTCTTCACTCTGGTAACTTCTTCCTTTGCTGTTCAGAAGACCGTGAATTCCATGAGGTCCCATTGTTGACTGGTGTCTTATTTCCTGAGCATCTCATGTCCTATTCAGAGACTGCTCCTCTGCCTCCATCTAAAGGTGTTTTTCCTGCTTCTCCTTCTAGTCTCCTCAGAGTTCCGGGTCTCACACTGGGGTGTCTGATGCATTGGGGGCTGGTTTGAGAGCTGAGAGAGAGATGAGGACTGAGCTTCATTCTGCTACATGAGACACCATTTTCTCAGCACATTTGATGAAGATATTTTTTCTTCTCCACTGTGCAGCTTTGGCACCTTGTCGAAAGTCAGGTGACTGGAAACTGAGGTATGATGCAGAGGTTAACAGTGCTCACAGTCCTTGTAGAGGACCTGGGTTCTAAACCTACCACATTCATGGTGGTTCACAGTCATCTGTAAGTCCAGTTCCAGAGGACCTGAGGCCTTCTTCTGACTTTCTAGGGCACTAGGCACACATGTGGTCACATACGTACATGCAGGCAGAATACTCACACACATACAATTTTTGTTCTGGTACTATGCTGTTTTTATTTAGAGTGTAGCTTGAATTCTGATATGCTGATATTTCTACTTTTTTTTGCTTGTTTAATTTTTTGGTGTTTGGAGACAGAATCTCACTATGTAGTCCTGATGGCCTGGAACTCATTATGAAGACAAAACCAGCTGATCTCAAGCTGGCAGACATCGACCTGCCTCTCTCTCTCTACTGCTAGACACAGCTAAGAACGATATCCTGGATGTGGCCTTGGGACAGCCACATGCCTGGGATATCTGGCCCCAGGGGTGCGGAAGGATTGTCTGTATTCTGTCAATCATGTTTTAAATAAATGCTGATTGGCCAGGCAGAAAGTATAGGTGGGTCAACCAGACAGGAAGTAAAGGTGGGGCAATGAGAACAGGAAAATTCTGGGAAGGAGGAAGCCCATTCCTCCCACTCCTGCCCAGATCACTGAAGAAGCAGGATGTGACCTGCCTCGCTGAAAAAGGCACTCAGCCATGTGGCTAACATAGATAAAAATAATGAATTAATATACATTATAAGAGCTAATACAAACCTGGGCTAATGAGCCAATCAGCTTATAACTTATGGAGACCTCTATGTGATTTTCTTTGGGGCTAAGCAGCTGTGGAAACCGGGCAGGACAGAAACCCCAACAAGCAGGACCCTCATGTTACATTCTAGCCTCTAGGCTCTGCTTCTTATCCTCTCCGTGGGGCGGAACCTCTGAGGACATAAATGTGAGATTTTCCCCTCCCCGAGGCACACATCATTTTGACAGCTTTTCACATGGAGTCAGGTGAGGTGAGGCCCTGGTTTTGGAAGGAGTGTGGTGGTTGGAAGAAAATGGCCCCAAATGTCACTGTGAGGAGGTGTGGTTGCCTTGTTGGAGGAACTGTGTCACTGTGGCAGTGGGCTTTGAGTTCTCCTGTGCTCAAGCCATGCCCAGTGAGAGAGACCACTTCCTATTGTTTTCCTATCAAGATTCAGGACTCTCAGCTCCTTCTCCAACACTATCTGCTTGCATGTCACCATGTCACCATGCCACACCATGATGACAATGGACTAAACCTCTGAATCGTAGGCCCCGCCTTCAGTTGCCATGGACCAGCTCAGCGAAGCCACTCAGACCGTGGGAGAAGCAGTGTCTTGGTACTCAGGAAGGCACAAGGTCGGGGATGACAGACAGACACAACACACAAGAGAGTGGTTGGAATCTGCTGCGATTTTACTGAATTCATGTTTTCATTATATAGTATTCAAACAAAGAACAAATCAGAAGGTCATGTATCATCAGTTGACACAGTATGAAAGCTTCTTTTAGTCACATTAGCGATTTCTAAGAAGAGCATATTATCAGGAACAGGTGTTAGACATAAAACATCCTTTGAAGAGGAAATCTTGTCCCTGGGAACATAAACCTCAGACAAGTGGTTTTATCTTAAGTATAGAAAGTTTCTGTTTCATCATCGCTATCATGGCCCTTCCCCTTTCTAACCCTTTCTTTATCTCATCTAGTGACCAAATATGCTTAACAGCTCTCGGCACCTGTTGCAATATACTCTTTTATATCTTCTTATGCAGCAGACACCATGAGGCTGGGATCTAGCAAGCCTATTCATAAAATTCAAAGTATAATATAACACTCTTTGTCCATCACCATTAACCTATCTATTCCCTTGCTCATAATACACCCTGTGTATGACAAAGGTTCTGCTGTAGTCTTATACATTCCCATACTGTGCTTCCCTATCCCAGAGCTGTTCCTGAAGAGATAATCCTTGTCTTGTAGATACATAGAATATCATTATTATAAAAGAGATTGTGCAAAGCTCATATCCTGCATAGCCTGCTAATTGAGAAACTCGTCTATGCCTCAGCGGTGGCTAATACCAGGCCATCTGCCATTGACCTCCAGGAAGCCTAGTCCCATGGGACACGTAGCTCCCGTCCGGCATAATGATGTATGTCATGTCACACAGGCGACACTGGAGTTGGTGTGACACCCAGTCAAATGTTTTCCCTTATAAGACTTGCCTTGGTTATTATATCTCTTCACAGCAACTGAAACCCTAAGACAGGTGTCCATGTCATATTTAGCATCCCAGAACACTTGACCACCCGGATCATGTCCCAGTGGACATAGTGTGGTCAGTCTCAGTGATTTCCTGACTCTAATGCTACTCATGATTCCTTTCAAAGCCATCCCTCTGAGGCAGGTACACTATCTTCACTGAATTTGAGGCCCTCATCTTGGTGCCCCATACTGTCCAGTGTGGAGAGCAGAGGGTATGGTGAGACTCCCCTTCCATGATTGGGATCAATCCCCTAAGGTGTCAGAGTGGACTTTGGGGCTCCAGTCTGCTGTGATTGGGGACTAGGAGCTGTGGACCTAGAAGCACACAGAGGGAGACTGGCCATGGGGGTGTCAATTGTGAGGCCACAGCTGAAGTGGATGTGGGGGCAGCAGCAACCATAAGGAGGCTTTCCTTGTGTCCGGTGCCCACTTTTCAGTGCCTTTTCAGGGTGTTCCTCCCTCCTTGGAGGTCAGGTGTGTGAGAGAATCTTTCCTGAGATATGCTGAGTCCCCAGACCCACAGGGTCATGTTGGATCCCACTCTTCTCTCTGTCCCTCAGTATCTGTTTGAAGCTCTCTTCCGCAGCCAGCACTACGCCCTCTTTGACAATTCTTGTCGTGAATATCTTCTCATCTGTGAATTTTTTGTTGTATCTGGCCCAGCTGCACATGACCTATTCCACGCTGTCATGGGCCGCACACTCGCCATGACCCTGGTGAGCCCCTGGATTCTGTGTTTTACCCTCCGTTCTCAAGGCTCCCCCACATCCAGTGGGGTCACAAGTGGCAGGAGTGTCCCGTTCTAAAAAGTCTAAGCCTTTACCTCACAGCATGGCCCCCTAGGAGATCCTTAGAACTCGGGGACCTGCTACTTCCTCTGTGTTTTTCCACAGCAGAGAACAACACCTCTAAATCCTGGCCCCTTATGTCCATCCTAAGATCAGCACTGGTTTCTGCTGTGAGTTGAGGCCAGCGAGCAAGTCAGGGGCCCTGGGGTGTCTGTGGGCAGGAAAGGTGGTGTCTCCCTAGCCAGCGCCTTGTCCCCTAGAAATGTACCACCATTTGCTCATAGCCACCTGAACAACAAGCTGACATCAGATCGTCTGCCTGTTGCTGCACCACAGAAACACCTGGAGTCCTACCTGGCCGACTGCTATGACGCCATTGCTGTTTTTCTCTGCATCCACATTGTTCTCCGATTCTGCAACATTGCAGCCAAGAGGGACGTGCCTGCTCTGGAGAGCTGGCTGTGCTTTGATGTGGGATTTCCTTCTGTCTGCTGTGATTACCATTGCCAAATAAAGGAAGTGCTTTGGACCTATAGTAGAATTATAGGGGAACTGTAAGCGGTGTATTAACCAGGCTAGCTTAATATGAAACAGCAAATTTTAATGAAGGGATAGCTTACAACACCAGGGATCCAGCAATTGGCAGGAAATACAAAAAAAGGTCCGGCGGGGCTCATGCCTGCCAGATTTATCTGTAAACATTAGCCCGAGGCGAAGACGCTCCCGCATTGGGCTGGGCTTATCCTACAGGGAACAGAGTGAGGCAGGGAAAACTAAGCTGAATGCTGGGAGAAAAAAGGGTGAAGTTAGAGAGGGGCCATGGAACTGCTGCTAGAGACAGACTCTGGGAATTTTACCTGATAAGCCACAGCCTCAGTGATACACAGATTAATTGAAATGGGTTAAATTAATATGTAAGTGTTAGACAATAATAAGCTAGAGCTGAAGGGCCAAGCAGTGATTTAATTAATACAGTTTCTGTGTGATAATTTTTGGGTTAAGTTGCCAGGAACCAACAAGCAGCCCCTCCTACAATAGTGCTCTGGTCCTATAGATTTCAGCTTTTTGTCTTACACAGACAACTCCATCCTGACCATGGCTATTCCTCACCTGATATGCTACACCCTTATTTCCATGTGTGTTTAGAGGAAGCATTGATGTCATGCAAACATGTACCCCTGTGTCCCACTCACCATGCCCCTGAAGGGTGCTGTGCACCCATGGCCTGCCAGCCCCCTCGCCAGCTGACCTTTGGTTCTGATTAAGCCTGCAGGTACTGGGAGCAGGTACTTGCCTTGCTGTGGCCTCGGTTTGAGCTGATCCTGGTGATGAATGTCCAGAGCGTCCGCAGCACTGACCCCCAGCGCCTCGGGGGGGGGGGCTGGACACTCGGCCCCACTATATGAGGGAGGGTGAGGGTAACAAGGGAGTCTTGTGGTCACACTTAGTGGTTTTTGACACTGGAGAAGGAAGGACTGGGAGCAGGAGCTGCAGAGGCAGCTGGGAGGTTGTGTCTGCCAGGCAGGCTGATGGGAGTCTTCCCTCCTTGGTCCTAGATCACACGCCGCTATGCTGAGTTCTCCTCTGCACTGGTCAGCATCAACCAGACCATCCCCAATGAACGCACCCTGCAGCTGCTGGGACAGCTACAGGTGGGGCTGGCACACAGACTTCCCAGCACGGGGAGGGCCCTGAGGTCTGGCTTTCTCACTTGCTGCTTCTGTTGGGCTGTTGCAGGTGGAGGTGGAGAATTTTGTCCTCCGAGTGGCTGCAGAGTTCTCCTCCAGGAAGGAGCAGCTTGTGTTTCTGATCAACAACTACGACATGATGCTGGGTGTGCTGATGGTAAGGCCGCTCCTCCCCGGGGTCCCCACGGCTTGTCAGCTCTACAAGCTCAGCGCTGTGCAGCTCAGCGCTGTGCCCTGGATCCTGGCTCTGTCTGCAGTGTGGAGTGGCGGGAGGTGCTGGCGTGAAGGGTGTCCCTAAGTTCCTCACTCCATGTGTCTCCTTAGGAGCAGGCTGCTGACGACAGCAAAGAGGTGGAGAGTTTCCAGCAGCTGCTCAATGCTCGGACACAGGTGGGCCCTGGGAGTGGCAGGGAGACCTGGGTGCTACTGGGCTGACCTCAGTGTGCAATCATTATTGCAGCTCACTGCCTTGTTGCTAGTCTGTCATTTAATTTTGGTGATATTAGTAGCTTAAAAGCAAAATAAAACTATAGTTGTTTTATGTGTATATATGTATGTGTTTATGTATGCATGTATGTGTGTATATGTATGTATGTGTATGTGTGTGCACATGCCAAAACAAACAGTTCTGCTTTGTAGGAGATTATTTGTGTGTGTGTGTGTGTGAGAGAGAGAGAGAGAGAGAGAAAGAGAGAGAGAGAGAGAAAGAGAGAGAGAGAGAGAGAGAGAGAGAGGCACAAGTCATGAAACACGTAGATATCAGAGGACAATTCCAGGACTGGGTTCCTTTCCTGTTTCTTCCACTTTGTGTTCTGGGTACCAGTGCCCAGTACTGTTCCCCCTGAGCCAATTCATTGGCTCTTGGTTTTGGAAGAGGAAATCCTTGGGGACTTTGAATCCACCTTGGGAGATCAATACCTACAAGTGGAAGACTAACAGAGGCTGGTTGCTTTGTCGAGGGGCACCTCCTAGTCATCCCAGTTCAAGATGGGGTCCTTTGGTCCCAGACTCCTTGCTCTGTGTTCTGGCTTCCACTGCTTCTGTGATTGCATCTCAGCTCTTAGGACAGAGCTGTGGAGGTTTCCTCCACTCTTCTTTAGCTTGGTAAACCCTCGGTCTTCTTTTGAACACTAACCCATCACCTCCCAGCTGGGGTTTAATTTGTCTCTCTGTCTGTCTGTCTGTCTGTCTCTCTGTCTGTCTTTAGGAAATAATAAGAACTAATGTGCTGACAGTTTCCTCTCCTTTGTCCTGGCCCTTCGAGCTCTCCAGCATTTCCTTACTGTAGGCCTATCTGGGTCCCAACCTGATGGGCATCCAGGAAGAAAGGAAGGGTGGTGACCTATGACCTGTCACAGCTTCAACCCAGGGGTGGTGGATAGCTTAGGAGCAGACTGCTTTGTAGCTCTCCAGGATGGTGGCACACGTCACAAGACCTGGAAACATGGACAGCTGTGGGCACTGTCCTGAGGATTACCATGGGAAAAGTTTATGACTCTGGGATTGTCTTAGCCCCTAAGTGATGTCACATCTCCTCTGGGATTGTCTGTCTCAGCCCCTAAGTGATGTCACATCTCCTCTGGAATTGTCTCAGTCCCTAAGTGATGTCACATCTCCTCTGGAATTGTCTCAGTCCCTAAGTGATGTCACAGCTCCTCTGGGATTGTCTGTCTCAGCCCCTAAGTGATGTCACAGCTCCTCTGGGATTGTCTGTCTCAGCCCCTAAGTGATGTCACAACTCCTCTGGGATTGTCTGTCTCAGTCCCTAGGTGATGTCACAGCTCCTCTGGGATTGTCTGTCTCAGCCTCTAGGAGGATGTCACATGTCCTCTGAGATTGTCTGTCTCAGCCCCTAGGAAGATGTCACAGGTCCTCTGAGATTGTCTCAGTCTCTAAGTGATGTCATAGCTCCTCTGAGGGTGGAGGGTCTGCAGCACCTGCACCCAGACATTGAGGCATGGGTGGATCTGGCTCCAGAACACATCTTGTCATTTACATTTGACCCAGACCCTCCTGCTGCCCTACTTATGTGCCCAGTGAAGACCACAGCAGTGGTTCCCACCTTCCTAATGCTGGGAACTTTAACACATTTCCTGACATTTGTGGTGACCCCATAAAATTATTTTCATTGCCACTCCATAACTGTAATTTTAGTACTGTTATTAATCATAATGTAAATATCTGTGTTTTCTGTTGGTCTTAAGCAACTCCTATGAACAGATCCTTCAACCCCCAAAGGGGTCGTGATCCCCAGGTTGAGAACCACTTCTATCTTAAAGGATGTTCCTTGACCAAGCCCTTTTTGGGTGGTTTCAAAGAAGTTTCTCTGTGCAGTCCTGGTTGTCCAGGAACTCACTCTGTAGACCAGGATGGCCTCAAACAGAGATATGCCTACTCTGCCTCCTGAGTGCTGGGATTAAAGGCATAAACCACCATCCAGCAACCTGACCAAGTTCTAACCAAAAGCCCATGTGGTTTTAGACCTGTATTACCAGCTAATTGGGAGACTGAGGCACAGGATGTAAAACCTGTTTAGGTTACAGAATAAGTTCAAGACCAGCCTAGGCCAGGTTTTAAAAGTAGAGGTGGGGGCAGGGAGATGGCTCAGCTAATAAGAGCCCTGGCTGCTCTTCCAGAGGTCCTGAGTTCAATTCCCTGCATCACATGGTAGCTCACAGCCATCTATCCTGTGATATGGTGCCCTCTTCTGGCGTGTAGGTGTATGTGTAGATAGAGTACCATAGACATAAGAGAAATAAATCTTAATAATTTTTTTTTAAAGGTCAGGAATGTAGTTCAGTGGCAGGAAGCTTGTGAGGCTGACAGCAGTCCCTAGGTTCCTTTTACAATGTGGGGGGAAAGAAGCTATCCAGAAAATAATAACAATTTGACGTCATTTCCTCCTCCCCACTCACTTTCAGGTCCTTGGCCAGTGGCGGCTCTGAGCCCTCACCTAAGGATCTGGCTGTCGCAGCCCAGAGAAGGGAAAGGAAGGAGGAAGACTCTGAAAGCCGCTCTTGATTGGACCGTATGTCTGTGGGTGGAGTCAGTGCTGTCCTTAGGGAGCTTGCCCAGTCCACCTCATTTCCCCTTCCCGCTTTCCAGTTCCAGTTTTTCCAGTCTCTCTCCAGCTCCCAGGATCCTTGAGGCTCACCGGGCACAGCACTAGGTTGGGGGCCACAGGCTCACCCCAGACCCAGCCCTGAGAATTCTTCATGGTCCTTTCTAGCTTGCCAGGCCTTAAATATCTACTCCGCCGCCGCCGCCCCGCCCTGCCCCAGGTGTCAGTCTTGGGGATCCCTGTGTTCTGGTCTCACCTTATAGCCCTGGCTGTCCTGAACTTGCTATGTGGATAAGAAAGTCAGAGATCTGCTTGTCTCTGCTATCTGACCACTGGTTTTAAGGGTGTTCCCAAAGAAACCGGGACCCTTTTTTTTTGGGGTTACATCTAACCAAGCTAGTGGGGCTGAGGCGTCGTTCAGTTAGGACGAACTCAACACATACGGTTAAATCCCGGGCAACATCAACAACTAAAGAAAAAGAAACTAACGCTGTGACGTGAGGGGCTTTGTAGGAGACAGCCTGTTCTCCAGTGTGGCGCAGACAGCCTCCAAGGCTCCTGAACCAGGCCAGCAGGTGGAACTCCGCAGCCTTCAGACTGATGGGCATTTAACATTGTGCTGTTTCTCCCGGGACCTTCGGAAGCCGCGATGCCGCTAATGACCACCAGGGGGCAGCAGGACACAAGAGTGGGAGCTGGTCCGGGCGCCTGCTCACCTGAGGGGCTGTGAACTTTGATTGCTGGGGAAGGCAGGGAGGTGTAGCCTATGCCCTCTTCATCCTGAAGCAGGGAGGAATTTTCCCTTCAGCCCGAATCCTCTGTTTTGCACGGGTCCTTGAGATCTCCGGGCTGAAACTCAACTTCTGAGGAAGATTACACCTCCAGCTCCATGACTGTCCTTGAAAGTGACATCATCTTCATTTTTACGCCGAGTTTTCTGTGGTTCTTTTCTCTGCAGCCCAGGGCCTCACTCAGGGCCTGAGCCACCAAACCCCCTGCAGGGAGGGTTTTAACTGGAGAAGCTCAGGGTCCTCAGGTCACAGCATCCAAGCCATGGACACACTGATCAAAGAGAAGGAGCTTCCCCGTCTGTGCCCACTGCTCTCTACAGGAAGGTCTGCTGTCCTCCAGCACCAATGCAGCTCTGTTAACACAAACCACGCAGGGAACTTTCCAGATGGCCTGGTCCTCCTGGAAGGTCCCCTGCTCAACTGAGTGTGTTGCCACGGTCCACACCTATTGTTTAATTTGTAGCCTTTGATTTCGTCTTCATCCCAAAGTTTTAGTACAAGTCTTTGAAATAACTACAATCCCTGTTGTTTGAGATTTTCCCTCCATACATCAGGAATGTGGCTTGGTGAATAGAGCGCCCACCTCGTACACCCTGCCCTGGGTTTGATTCTTCAGCACCTCCAAAATTAGGGGTGGAGGCACACAGGCTGGGCAGGTGAGATGACTCAGTAGTTAGAGGAGCTTGCCACCAAGTCCGGTCACCTGAGTTCAGTCCCCAGAACCCACAGTGCAGAGAGAACTCGCTCCCCAAAGTTCTATTCTGATGCACACACACACACACACACACCATGGCTGGGTGTGCCCTTATTCTCACACCATACATGTACAGTGATACTATTAATGCACAAAATAATTTTCTGGGTGTTGGTAGCATGCGCCTTTAATCCCATCACTCAGGAGGCAGAGACAGGTGGATCTCTGTGAGTTTGAGGCCAGATAGGGCTACAGAGTGAGTTTGAGGACAGGCTCCAAAGCTATACAGAGAAACCTTCTCTTGAAAAACTAAAATAAAAATAATAATATAAAACTTTTCATGATTATTTTTGTACGACTTGACTTGCAATCCTTTGGACAGTTTCTCATCATAGGATGGGTTTTGGACACAGGAAAATTCCCCTACCGGAAGGTCTAAGGCAAACTAGGCACAACAAATGAATTTGTGTTTATGTGTTCTTCAACATAAAATCATGCTTTCTTTTTGATTTTTGTTACATTGATTTACTAATTACGTGAGGGGCATACATGTCCTGATGCCCATGTGAGGTTAGAGGACGACTTCTGGGCCTCAGTTCTCCCCTGTCACCCTGTGGTTTCCATGGATGGAACCCGGGTCGTCAAGCTTGGTGGCAAGCTACTCGAGCTGTCTATCTCGATGGTCTCCTTGGACACCAGTGTGTTTGCACTTTTCCTTTTGAAGGTTCCTTCATTTCTGGAGTTGGCACACAGGAGAACCCCCACGCTGACTTAGAAAAGGTGTTTACTGGTCTGATATGTAGTAGCGTTGCCTTGGGTGTCTCTGCGGAACCGTGTCTTCCTGT